CTGATCGTTGTTAAATGGCTTGGTTCCGAGTAATGGGTAGGTATTTGTTGAATAAATTAATTTAGTCTGCTTCTACCAGCACCCGATCAATCCGAATGTCGTTCGGCAAATACAGCTCCATGCTTCACCTCTGGAGATGAAAGGGTTTCTCAACATCCAGGCATCACAACGCTCCATACACGTTAGTTATGCTAACCCTAAAACTATCAGATTGCTGTCCTGGTCCAGGTATGATAAAAGATAGGGTGACTAGTATCGACTGATTTCTTTGGATTGAGCCGTGCGTTCGAAATGAATACGAACTTGGTTGCACTACTCCAACTCAACTGGTTCTCTTACGATACCCGATTCAACAGTTTCCTTTCAGTATTTCATCGAGAACATAACCGTATAGCGGATGAGCTCGCATCGATCAATCCTCATTGGGACGATGAGAGGATCTATCAGGTCGGTCCTATTTGAGGAATGGTATTCGCCTCTCTTGAAGGTCTTTCAGGTATAATATAGCATAGGGCTCTAATGTCTTACCATTAGATGATGGTTTGTTGGTAGAGCGCAACATTCTTGCACATCCGTCTTCCCATGTCTGTCTGTATGTCTGTCCGTTTGCCTGTCTGTCTGTCTGTCTGTCTGTCTGTCTGTCTGTCTGTCTGTCTGTCTGTCTGTCTGTCTGCTTGCCTGTCTTTATATACGCCATTTACCCTTCGTTTGTGGGACTGAGGGAAAATAGAGAGGAAGTGGATCGCTAGGCGGATTTTACTTTTTACTCAGCTTCATTCTGTAAGCTGACTGAGATTTTCCTTGATACAGGAAACGCGACGAGTGATAGCCGCCGAAATCGCTCATATCAATTACAACGAGTATTTGCCAAAAATCCTTGGCAACAAGTTAGTTGAAAAATTCGATCTCCGTTCAAAAACAAATGGCTACTTCACCGGTAAGTCTATCGCTTGCAGGTAGCATTACTACACGATCTATTCCAAAAGGTTTTACCAAAAAAAGTTGTCTCCAATTCTTTGACTTGGTTTCTGTCAAGCAGGTCTGACAAAAGGCTTTTGCCTCCACTAGTTTGACATGACTCCTGCCAAAAAAAAATCCGGTCGAGGCTTTTTGAAGTCATTCTCGCTACTGAGGAACAGGCCATTCCAGATAGGCCTGGAGGATTTCTCCGACATTCCTTTCCTCTCCTGCCTACTCGACTCAATTTTTTCGATTCTCATAATTTAGCAAGATCTCAAATAGAATTCAGGTTATGATTCCACATGTGATGCGACTTTATCACATTCATTTTCCACCGCAGCATTCCGGTTTGGACATTCATTAGCGAAACGGTAGGTATTGATGGTACATACATGTGATCTTGCTACCGCTACTGTATACTAATGTTTACTGCATTTACTGTAATCAAGACTGTACGAAAGTCAATGATAATAATCAGTTAGAAAGGCTTACCGTATATCAATGGCCTTGATCACAGTCGGGTCGTACAATCGAAGGCGATTTAGCCACATTTGAATATATAACTTCACAGGATCTTCTCTCGACTCGATAGCCGCTACCGTAATACGACATTTCCAGTTGATCTCGCTATGAATTTCGAATATGCTGATGCTATATATGACGAGGAACACGGTAAGTAGTAATTATGCAGTACGAACCTTCGGTAATTATGTTTATAGTTATGTTTTTCTATAGGTGGCGTTGAATCGATTTTACTCGGACTTGTTGGCACAGCTTCGATGGCTCCTGATAGACACACATCCGATGCCATTAGGTTCGACGTTCTTTTCAAATCAAAGAGATCAAGTTTATGCATTTTTTGAAGTGGCACTTGTTGTAAGAGGAAGGTACCGGAAAATCTTACTCTATCGACTGGGACTTTGATCGCAGGTCCAACAGACGTTTCCATGCTTTGAACGACCGGTTTTTGTTACTTGGCAACTTTCCTAGGCCGATTAGCTCTGTAAAAGTGAAGTATCACCTCTCCGTTCAGCTTTTTGGGGAACAGAGGTTCAGGACTCCAGCCAAGGGGCTAACCGATGACTTCATAGAAAACTATGATCACAAGTATACCTGAAAAATGAAAAAATCTTTGCCAAAATCTTCTCCGTCGTTCATCTGAAACTTTTCCGAATATTCGCCGAAGTTTTGCAACCGAAGAAGCCATTTTTCGGAAAATGTTGTAGAGGGAATGATTATTGTAAATACTGTGGCTTCCTCTCATTGGGTTCATTCCGAACAATTCACCAATGAGAATGAGTCTAACGGTGTCAAAGGGCACCACCCACATTTACAAGCTGTATCAACTGACTCCGCCTCCGTTTTTTGAGGAGGTAGGGGGAGGGCACTCTTAAGAGGTTGAAATAATTCAAGAAGATCGAATTTTACTACCAGGAATCATCTGTTCTCTATTCGTGGAGTTCCACAAAGTGGCCTCGATCTCATTTCAATCAACATTATGAGAGGGCGTGATCATGGAGTACCGTCATACGTTGCACATAGGTGAGTTACGGTATTTACGATTCCTACTAATCCAAAGTTTCCTGTCAGCAGTAACGTTTTCGAAAAAAAAAATCTCTAGAAAACCGAGTTAGAGTGATAGAGTCGATCCGGAGTAGGACTCGAAATGCAATCGCGCTTTGATAGTTCCATGCTTTTCCGTTGCACTATCGAACTCCGTTGTAAAACCTGTTCAGGGAATATTGCGGACTTTCACGACCATTGTCATTCCAAGGTTTATCAGATGAAATGTCATCATCTACTATCAAGGCTTTGGAATCTGTCTATGAATCGGTGGACGACATCGATCTGTATACAGG